GCAGCTGTAGGAGGCGGAGCAGGACGTTGCTTTGCTGCAGGTGGAGCAATAGCCATGCGAAGAGGAGCTGGAGTTGGCTGAGGCACAGGGTTACTTATGTTGTGCTGATCTGATGGATGTGGGGAGGATCCAGTGTCACCAGAATCTTGGGATCTCTCTTTGAGGAGAGAAGTAACCATTTTAGCTATCTCCAGCTCATTACATTTCTTCTTTAGCTGGCGTCGTTTCTCCATCTGTCTTGCCAGCAATTCTTGTGCTCTGATGGCTTCCTCTTGTAGCTGTTGGGCTTCTCTGGCTTGAGTTTGAAGCCTCTGACGCTCGTTATCAACTTGTTGATCCTCCTCTATTGTCTGCTGTAATTCCTCAAGCTCCATTTCCTTCACTCGTTCTTCAAGTTGAGCTGTGTCTAACTCTGATAAGATGTGAGAGGAGAATCTGCTGGTGGTTGAGCGAGATGAGCGAGATGAGCATCTAGACCTGGGGTTGGAGCTCCTCCGAGACATGTCTGTTTTCCGGCTATGTGAACTCTGGATGGATGGAGCTGGGTGTGTGGTGCGGGTTTGTCCCTCTGAAGGGAGAGTTGCAACCACATAGTCACTCAGGTAAGCTGGTGGATAATGCTCTCTCTGCGAAGCACGTTGGCGTGCTGGCTCAGTGTGGGCATCTGCAGGATCCATACTTGATATTACTCTAATCCGGCTCGAAGGACCATAAAAAGGAGATGAGGTGTTCTCCAGGAGTTAACTGGTTTAGAGCGGCAAGGTGTATGGAATGTGTCCCCGTTAAAAGACACGGAAGCAGATGTCGGGTTTGTTGTAGATTTACTGTGGTTCTACAAAGGAATACAGAATAACAATCATTACAAACACATCATACATAATATACATAAAATATGTATATTCAAACATAAAGACTGCATTTAGCAATGAAACACATATGACTAATATATTGTGAGCATGAATACAGCACACATTGAACATGGTGAAAATTAGCTTGGTAGCTGAACATCAAGCAGCATAAAATACTAATATTAGACATGTGATCATGAAATATGCAAGTTACAGCATACAGTAGAATGAAGCACCATTAAACTCACCTTCTGACATGTACACACAGCAAGTCCAGTTAGTAAACACATACAAATGAAGAATTTCAGGAAAAAACGGGAAATAATGAGCTTTACACTGCTGTATCAGCAGGAAAAACGTTCAGCCATCTCACTTGCAGGTGTGGTGCGTTCAATGAAGCTTCGAACACTTATGGTGCGTTCATGAGCGTCAGACATATGACATCTCACCGAAAACACAGTATAAATGAACAGTTTCCAACAGAAAAACATCTAAACAACATGGACTTTCTAACAACATTTCTGACTGTATATCCCTGTAATTATTACACACTGTAGCTTTAAGAGGCCGCCTCCCGTGATTAGACTGGAGAGTATTGAGCCTAACAGACTGACTTATGCCCTGTATAAATGTTTGGCTGACCGGACTAATTATTATGCAAACCAGAAATCAAGAAAAATACACCAAAATATCAGTTAGGTCAGTCATACATTTCTAACTTTTTTATGCTTACTGCAACTGATTATTTTAACAAGAGATCTAAGTGAAGGTGATTTAATGGAAGTTTTTTTGCAGGAAAATAGTCTCCTCCAACATCATTATCATTATTACCATACACCTCACCTTGGCTCTACCTTTGCCATACCTCATCCAAAATAGTTAGTTATTATATTATCTGAATAATTTTTTTTTCAGTGCAGTCCTGTTTCTTTTACTGTGACTAACTGTACGTGCTCTCTTTCATCCTCTGACATGGTGACTGGCTCGTCTGCCTGGCTGTGTCTTTCCTGCACAGGGCCACCTGGAGACCCTGGCCCCCCTTCTAGGTCCGCCCCTGGTAACTGTTAACTAGGTTTGCAGGTGGCCCTGTGCAGGAAAGACACAGCCAGGTTCTGGTGTCTGAGGTTCTGGTGCCTATCCGCTTCCGTTCACCCCTCACTGTACATTGGTTATTGCCTGGCCACCCTTATAAAAATGTTCTGGCTACGCCTCTGCCAGTTACCTTTTGTATCTCTGCTTCTTTCTGTATGTCTGTTTCTTCTCCTTGAACCCCACTCTACTCTCAAAAAAACAAAGAGACACATACGATTTATGTTAAAGGGAGTTTTCTTGTTTGTATTTAAGCTTAGTAGTTTGGGTTTGCAAAGCACCTCCATGGCTGCAGATGGATAAAGTTTGGTGTAGGAAAACCTCGCCGGCTTAACTCAACCTTATAGAAAACCTATGTTTTAACTTTAAATCCCTCAGCAAACCTTGAAGTTAAATGTTTAAGAATAGTTAAAGTTAGTTGCTTTGGCTAGGAGTTCAGATCCATCAACAAATTTGTCTCCATAAATGGAAAAATATTCTATACATGTATAAGCAGAAAACCAGATACTTTTGTAAATATTGAACTGCTTTATTTATTTCATTAATTGTATTAATTTATAATTTTTACTGATATGGTGAAAGACTATTTAGAAAAGAGTTTAATGTGCCTGAATTTATCCTCTCTGTAGAATAGCAGAATATGCAAATACACTTTATATTTTGCTCTGTTTTACTATGTTAGTTTTGAACGTTAGTTTTACTTGAATCATTTCTTGATTGGCTTCTTTTTGCTTTTTCGCCGAAGTAGTGCTACTCTTACGGGAGTACAATTCTTGTGGACTCCACCCACCTTTGGATATAAAATAGATGTAACGAAACTATGTTCTTTCTCAAATTAATATTCAGGAAAAAAAAATATACTTCTAAGACTGTTCTGCCTTGTGCTGTGGGGCTGGGCATCTTAAATCATTAATTTTTAATAATCATACCAATAGTACCAATAATTATGTACAAAGGACTTTGAATTATTTGTTATATTTCTTAATATATTTGGGCACGTTGGCCTTTCTTGTTATTACATTGACTTTCATTTTTGCCATCAAAATATCCATATTTTTTTAAATGTTACAAAGGTAACACTATTGGCTTGAAATTTGGATTTTCAAAGTATTTCACTGACTGCCCTTTAAAAGGATAAACCTAAATATAATTGTTAACTAGGCTTATTAACTTTTTAACTTTACTTTTTAACTTTTCAATTAGCTTTTTACCATTTTTCTTGACTTGTGAGATGTACAGCCATGTAGTAGGATCTTTGCAGAATGGCTGGATATAGATCTTGTGCTTCTAGACCTCCATTTGTAAGGGCTATGCAAGGGATCAACAACGCTAACTTGCCCTATAAAGGGTTAAAAACTAAAAAATATAAGTGCCAGTATCAGCACTAATGCCTCTAAGGTTATATTGTACAAAAAAAATGTTTCTTTTACTCTGAGTTTTTTTCATGAATTTCTTATAAAAGCAGTTTTGTTATTTTTCTTAAAGGAATAGTACACCCAAAACATGATTAGCCTTCATTTTCTACTCACCCCCATGCTGAACAACACTCTGGAGTACTTTTTTGAAATCTCAAATGCATCTGGAGATCTGGGAGGCTTCTTGCTGTCTGCTGACATTCAAATAATGGAGGTCTATGGTGTCCGAGACAGAAATGTCCATAAAAGTCCACAAAAAACGTGTCAATATTCCTCCATACTGCTCGTCCAATGTATTCCAAGTGTCCTGAGTGGGTAGCATCCAGAATTTACTCGAACCGAAGTCATTTAGAATGTTTTTAGAGCATAAACAGTAGTGTATAGGATTTCCTAAAAGCGCGTTCACGAGTCTACGGAAACCGTGGCAGACCAAACCAGACGAAAGTGCGCATTCAGCTCGGCAAAGAACTCATGCTCTTCCTCAACACTGAAGTCCTCAGACATTTTTCTTTCGTTGTTTCTTTCTTTGCACAGGTAAACAGCACATTTCTTCTTCTACGCTTGCATTATCGGCAGAGCAGACGCTGAATGCGCACTTTCATCTGGTTTGGTCTGCCGCAGTTTCCGTAGACTCGTGAACGCGCTTTTAGGAAATCCTACACACTACTGTTTATGCTCTAAAAACATTCTAAATGACTTTGTTTCGAGTAAATTATGGACGCTACCCACTCAGGACACTTGGAATACATTGGACGAGCAGTATGGAGGAATAATTGACACGTTTTTTGTGGACTTTTATGGACCTTTCTGCCTCGGGCACCATAGACCTCCATTATTTGAATGTCAGCAGACAGCAAGAAGCCTCCCAGATCTCCAGATGCATTTGAGATATCAAAAAAGTACTCCAGAGTGTTGTTCAGCATGGGGGTGAGTAGAAAATGAAGGCTAATCATGTTTTGGGTGTACTATTCCTTTAATATATTCGGGTAAGTTGGCGTTTCTTGTTACTACATTGACTTTCATTTTTGCCATCAAAATATCCATATTTTTTTAATGTTACAAAAGTAATAAGGTCCTGTCCTGGATTCCAATAACACTATTGGCGTGAAGTTTTGATTTTTAAAGTATTTCACTAATTTTCCCTATAAAGGGTTAAAAGTGTGTCTTATCCTGTAGCTCTATTGATTTGTGGTTAAAAAAAATAAATGAGGCTGGTTGTTTTTTTCTTCTCAAAAAAGTATATTAAATAATGTGTTAAACAAAAACTAAATGTGAAGAAAAAATGTTTTTTAAATATTGCTGCAACAGTTATATATATTAGGGAGTTGACAGTAACCAGTGATAACACACCTCACATGTGCTTTAGAGCTAAATTTCCAGTCAAAAACCGTCTTATCCTCCCAGTTTGGGTTATTTTTAGCCCTTTTTTCATTCAGTAATAGCCCCATGTGAGCGCCGCAGGCTATATTTAGATTAACGTTCACTCTCGGCTTTTGCGTCAATGGAATCCCGTGCGTGCGTCACGCCGAACGACGTATGGAGCGCGAGGCGCTGATTGGTGCTCCCCCCGGAACGTTTTACCGCCCCTTTCACCATTTATGGGCATGGATCCGCCTTTCTGGCGGCGCAGCCAAAATAAAACAAGAGTGTATGGAGCCCACCGCTGTGAGCCAGCGTGTGAGCGGCGGAGAGGGAGCCTGAATGGGTGGGTGTGCCGACAGCAGCTGACAGAGCTGGCTTCTTCTGTTTCTCTGCTTTGGAACAAATAAAAACTGAATCTGGATATTTACATTAAGCAGGTGAGTGAACAAGCTTTTAGTGAAAGTTTATTGTCAATTAGTATACACAGAGTGTATAAAAACTGAAATTATGTTGTTAAAACTTACAACTGTGATAATGAGCAGCCTAAAACAGTAAAAAAAGAAAAGTAAAAATGTGATTAGTATAAAAGAAAATAAGTAAAAAAAATATGGTGCAAAATGCATAAGTGTACATTTAATATAGTTTGTATAAACTTTGATTGTGATGAATTAAACCAATTAGATGTCTACCAGGAATGATATTTAAAGTTATTTTTTTAGAAAGATGTTTTATTCTCTTTGAGTTATTTAGTTTAGCACATAATTATTATACGTGTTTATTCAGTTTGCTTGTGTTACTTCAGCCTGATTACTCAAAACTCATACCTTCAATTTAAAGTTCCAAAAGAAATTCAATGTGAATAAAAAAAAAAAGGTTCCTGGATGGGAAGCGAAAGGTCTTCAAACTTGGAAACAATGTCTAGTGTATTGTTTTTTTTAAGTTTTTTTTTTGACTGACTATGACCTGGATGACTGAGAATCTTCACCAGAACATATTAAAGTAACTTTTTGAACAATCAGATACATCAATTAAGGATGTTTGTTCATTTGCAGAAAAAAGGAATAAGAATAAAAACTAATAGGCCAGTAGATACATGTCCATTCAGCTAAAGACACCCACATAATGTACAAACAGGCTTCACCACCTTTACCACTCTAACTGGCACTAAACCAGAGGGGAAATACAATCTGTTACACTCCATGGTACGGCCCTCTGTGAAAGAGGGTTGTCCTCCACTGAAGGAGGTTTTTCAAAGCATTAGCAGCCAGTAACACAATATCTGACAATATCCCAGCGATCTGCCGGACCACTGTCTGCATTTTCAAAGAGGACTGATAGGCCCTGAAGCAAGAGAAATGGCATGTTGGGATGAAACGAAACGGAGCACTTCTAAGGCGCTAACATCGGCTACTGTTTGATGTCACAGAGGAAAGATTGTTCAGTTCTGACATAAATGATACAAAAACGGACAAAAAGACTCACCCTCTTGGCATTTTTACTGTTTTGTATCCTGACAACCAGGAATCAAAACAGATCTTTAGAGAATATAAATCACTTAACATAAGAAGCTTAAAGTTTTGTAGATTATCAAGCAAACAACAAATAGGATGATTAAACAGGAGCGCTTAGCATGCATAACTGTTGACCTCCAGTTAAGGTCAGTACTTTGTAGAGCCACCTTTTGCTACAGTTACAGCCAATAGTTGCTCTGGTTAAATCTCTGAGCCTGCCACATCTTGCCTCTGGTATTTTCGCCCATTCCTCAATGCTAAACTGCTCCAACTCTTCATGTTGAACGTTTTTCTCCTGAAAACAGTGATCTTCAAGTCTAAACACAGACTCTCAAATGGCTTGAGGTCTAGACTTTGACTAGGACTTTTCAACACAGCTTAATGTGTCTTCTTAAACCGCTGGAGCATTGCTTTAGCAGTCGGCTGCGGGTCAATGAGCTGCTGGAAGGTGAACCTGCGTCCCAGTCCAGAAACACAGGCAGCCTGACTGATTTAACTCATGAATGTCCCTAAAGTTTGAACCATCCATTTTTCTATCAACTAGGATCCGTTTCCCAGAAAAACATCCAAATTCAATGGCCTGTCTGCTTTCTTTTGTTCCTTTGGGATTATTATTTGACCAACATTAATGCTTTCATATTTTGGTCTTTTTTTTTATCCCAGGGCTGGAAACTTAAAGTAGGGAAATCATATTTAAATGTCAAATCATTCTGGCTTAAAGATGTATATAAATGTACTCTTTACCAGACCATATTGTCCCAAAATTTGTAAGATTTCTATTTTAAAAAAAAATCCTGTTTTAAAATCAGTTTTTTTTTTCTTCGTTATCCTCTGCAGGCCAGTTAGTTACACGTCAGCTTGTACACCTAAATTCGGCCAATCATATATTAACGCTCATCCGTCAATCACATTTATTCGTTCATAGCATCTTGATTCATATGTTGCAGCTAATATACACAATGGTTGAAATTAGAAATGAGAATAATTTCCTTTCCCATTGAGTTCCGTCCCAGTGTTCACGGGGATGGACGTCTGTGTCTTCGGCAGGCGTAGAGCTAACAGAACTGGCAGCGTTGCGAGGCAAGGGCTCAAACATGTACGGCTGGAAGCCTTCTACACCAAACCAAGCTTCTGCCGCCCTGGCGTCCTCTTCCACAACATCTTCGTCCCCGCTTTCCTCCTCTAAATAAAAATGGATGATGGAGGAGACTCAATCACGACCTCCGACACTAAACTCTCCTCCTCTTGCATGTGTCTTCTGTCCATAGCGTTCCTTGACAGTGTCGTTTCTAAGTCACCAATTTAGTGCTACTTGGTCCCAATGGAATTTCCCATTGGGAATCTACTAGCACTAAGATGCTAACTGGTTAGCAAGATGCTTCCGACAAACCGGCCACAATCAAACTTGCTTGCGAACCTTCCGCCACAACAATTCCGCCCCCTTGATAATCGACCAATCACATTCACTTTATTAACTCGTGTAAAGTCGGGCACCACTCGGGAGAATTCGGAAATGCAACGGTTGGAACAGCCGCTTCCCTACGACTTTAGGCACATGGCAATTTTCCAATTCATACTGCCAGTTATATTTCAGAAAGATTCAGTTTTAATTTTATAGATTTCTGGTTTAAATGCAGTCCTAGTCTGATCATGCAACTTTTATTTGTAGACCTGTAATGAAGTCATAAAATTTGTAGCAATCCTGAGCATGTGGCGACACAGGAGCCGAACAAGCTTCTTTTAACGGGAAGAAAATTCAGGTGAAGGCCCAGCATAAATACCGACTGCTGGTCAATCATTCTTTTAATTGTGAAAAACAAACCGAATACTCAGATTACATCATCAATATAAAGTAAAGAAGTTTGATTAAAATGCATTGAACACAAAGAAATTATCCAATCCAACTTTATTTATAAAGCACTTTAAAATTTCTCAGAGGACCAAAGTGCTGTACAGTGAAACAACATAACACCATTACACAGACTCAAAAAAACCAAACAAGCATAAAAGACTAAATTATAATCATAGCTATAAAATCTATAATGAAATAAAAATAAAAGTAATTTAAAATGATGTATCACAGACTAAAACCAACATCAGACACAGTTTTGAAAGCCAGGGCAAAGAGATGAGTTTTTAAGAGCGATTTAAAATCAGACTTATTTCATTTGCAATGGACGGTCATTCCACATTTTTTGGAGCTGCCACAGAGAAAGCACGATCGCTTCCGTTTAGTTTTTGGCACCTCAGTGAACGGGATGGTGCATGAGGGTGCAGCAGCTCAGAAAGATAAGATGGAGCAAGACTATGTAGAGACTTAAAAGCAAATAAAAGAACTTTAAAATGAAGCCTAAAATGTACAGGGAGCCAGTGTAATGAGGCTAAAATTGGGGTAATGTGCTCATATTTATGTAATGATAACAAATTAGCTTTTATCTTTAACTAACAGACTTTCTTTTCTCAATTGCCATAGCGATGCCCTGTGTACAAGCCCAGTATGCATCCGTGCCCTATGAAAACTACTTCAGCTCTGAGCTCCTGAATCCTGACCTCAGTGCCAAATTTATGATGGAAATCTCTGGCCAAAAGGACCAGCTGTCAACATCCTCACTACCCAGCATCAACACCTTGATGGGAAATGGTTACATCGGGGATTTTGATGCTTACTCCTGCAAGATTACCACTTCCCCTCCTGCCTCTGCAGCCTCTTTCAGTCACGCTGCTGTAGCAGAAAGCGCTAACCCACAGATGCAAAACCAGCCCTTCAAGCTGGATGATCTCCAAGTGTACGGCTGCTACCCAGGATCCTTTTCTCTCAGCTGCCTTGAAGAAACGCACTTGTCATGTGGCTCCGATTATTATGGAAGCCCCATCTACGGTACGGGCTCTCCTCCAACACCAGGCTTTCAGACAGAGTCTGCAGCTGTCTGGGATTCCCCTTTCAGCCCGTTCCCCCAAGCCCTTCCGTCCTCTGTAGAGAAGGCCACCATGGCTCAGCAGTTTTCATTTTTCACCTTTAGTAACGCACAGGAGCAGCACTCTCCTTTGGATCATCATCACGATGCACCAACTTGTCAAGAGGATGCCTTCTTTCTCTCTCCGCACCAACATGTCTCCCCTATTCACTGCCCCACCATGTCCCTGGAACATGCACCACTGGAAAGCCCAAGAACTCTGGAGGGGGGGATAATGTCTCCAAAAATCTCCAACCCTGGTTCCAGTGAAGGTCGCTGTGCGGTTTGTGGCGATAACGCCTCCTGTCAGCACTACGGGGTTCGGACCTGTGAAGGATGCAAAGGCTTCTTTAAGGTAGGAAAATAAAAAAAAATGTTTTAAGCAGTTAAATTATGTAGGATTGTTCTATTAAAGGTATTGTGGAGGATTTTCGCAAATTTTTTAACAAGACTTTGTATGAATGCGAGAGCGTGCACAAGCAATTTCTCATCATGCACGCTCTGTTTAAAAGTTGCAAATCCCTCAATCCCTAAATAGAGCAGCGACTATATAGTGGACTCCGTTCGGACAGATGATCACTGCTTTTTGCTCCCTGTTGGTCACGTAACTCCTCCACTGCACGGTGCCTGCGCCATCTTTATTAGTTGCCGTTGTCGGGTATCCACAGCCTATGGCGACAGCGGGACGCTGTGACAGCAAATCCTATAATGCTTTGCGAGGAGAGCTCTCCGTGCAAAGCATTCTGGGATATATCTGTCTCTTTTTAGGCCTTTCTTTTCTTCTCATACACTTCGTAGACACTTTTTCTCTTACAACCCTCAGCTATTTTCAAAGAACCGCGTTGAGAAAGGTGAGCTTCAATGGCTGTCTGAAGCTGTAGTTCACCACAGATATACACCTGAAAGGGCGCATGTGCAGAAAAAGATAGCTGGACGAGCAGGTAGGACGGCCTTATGTAAACGTATCAGCAGAATGATTGACAATTAGGAGGATGATCCACCTCGAAATAACTTAGACAAACTTCATTGTCTTTTTGTATACACAGAATGTATAGAAAATGAATTTTCGTTTTGAACTCAATAGAAGATTATCCTCTATACTTTTAACCTTATGCAAGCAGTATGAGCAGATTTAAGGTACATTTTGTTTAACGATGATCATTCACTGTCTGCATAGGTTAGAAGTCATGATTAGAGTCTTTATTGAACATTAAATATTATTACACATTTTTTGTTCATGTGCTCTGCTGTATACATAAGGATATTTAAGAAAAAATTATCACACTGATCATGGGGGCGGGTTCTAGGTGGGGGGCCAACAGGGGCCAGTGCCCCTGTAGAATGGGGCCTGGTCCATGTTCGGAAAGCATGAAATGCCAAAATTTACATGCACATGGTTTTTTTCTTGAAATAGCTGTATATTGCCTTAATTCATACACTGCAAAAAATGGAAATCCAGAGAAGTAATTTGTTTTCTTAAAATAATTGCATTTTTTGTTAGATTGAGGAGGTAAGAGAAATTTTGCCAAATGAACAAGACGATTTACATTTAAAATGAGAAAACACAATTGCATTGTCTTATTTCAAGTGCATTTTATCTAATTATCTTATTTTAAGAGCAAAGATACTAATTTCATTGGTAAACTATCTCATTTAACTCCTCAAATCAAGGATAAATACACTTCATTTAAGAAATCTTTACTTATTTCTAGATAATTTTTCAGTGTATATTTAAAGGAGAATTCCGGTTTTTAACACTTTTAGCCCATTTTCTGTAGTGTCCAGGATGAAATCGAATGATCGACACCAAAATTTTGACAATTGGTCCTGTCTCTGCTTTTTGGCTCATGCAGAATCCCCCCCTGGCTGCTTCAGAATGGCTTCCATAGTGCATGTCCGATAATGTCCTTAAAACAACCTTAAACGTTCTTTTTTAAAAATATGCTACTCACCGGGTCGTCAGCACTGTTCAATGACGTTCCAAAAAAAGTTTCGTAAAGAAAAAACGTTCCTGTAGTGTTTTATTTAGCATTTTGTAAATCCCATTGAGTTCTGTTGGAATAGTCAATATTCCGCTGCCACCGGAAACGGAAATGGGGCCTGTTTACACAGTTGTAGTCTTTTCGCTTCACTCTGTGTACTCCGAAGTCGAGGTGCTAACGTCTCTGTTAAACACTTTATAAAACTCTGAAAATGGAATACGAAAGGTGGATTCTTGATTCTCGACGTCGGAGTACACAGAGTGAAGCGAAAAGACTACAACTGTGTAAACAGGCCCCATTTCCGTTTCCGGTGGCAGGGGAATATTGACTATTCCAACAGAACTCAATGGGATTTACAAAATGCTAAATAAAACACTACAGGAACGTTTTTTCTTTACGAAACTTTTTTTGGAACGTCATTGAACAGCGCTGACGACCCGGTGAGTAGCATATTTTAAAAAAAGAACGTTTAAGGTTGTTTTAAGGACATTATCGGGCATGCACTATGGAAGCCGTTCTGGAGCAGCCAGGGGGGGATTATAAATGAGCCAAAAAGCAGAGACAGGACCAATTGTCAAAATTTTGGTGTCGATCATTCGATTTCTTCCTGGACACTACAGAAAATGGGCTAAAAGTGTTAAAAACCGGAATTCTCCTTTAAAATAAAAACTTTTCTCTTGTTTTAAATGCATAGTGTCTATTTTTTTTAACAGGCAAGATTATCCTTTCTTTGGTAGATCATCTTATTTATCTGAGGAAATGAAGGGCAAATACTCAGATTTTAAGAAACTATAACGTTATAGGTCAGTTTTTAGTATTGTGTAATACTAAATCACTTTCTTATACTGTATATATGCTCTGAAAGAAGAGACTGTAACTGATTTGTCCCTTAGACCAATTTAATACTTCGTCTTCACAATTTACTTGAACAATTTTATTTGTTCACTGCAAAAAATGTCAGTTTTGCTTAAAATAAATGATTTTTTTCCCTTGAATTAAGCAGGTAATCGCCAATGGAACAAGACATTTGAAATAAGATAAAAAAAAATCTGCATTGTTTTATTAAGTGTCTATAAAATCTAATAATCATATGCTATCTTTTAGTGTTAAAAACACTCATTCCATTCCATATTCCATCTACTTATTTTTAGATCATTTTTCCTGTAGAAATATTCAGATATTAAGATTAGAAACGACAAAAATTAAAACATCAAGAGACTAGGTTTACATTTAGCTTCTATTTCTGCTTCTACTCGGTTTCTTTATGTTGCTAAGTAGCAGCATTACTATGTGTCTATCAATAGCAAACAGTATCAGTTAGCGTCAAGGAAATCAGGAAACTGACACTGTTAATGAAAGCAAACATCATTGATAGACAAAACTAGCCGTCAACAGCCACTTACTATGGATAGCATGCTGCTATGTATACCGTAGCTAATACTTTAGTCATAACAAGAACAAAATACACCAACAAACTCTTTATACATAAAGTAAATACATTCTATGGGTTTATATTATATGCCTTATCTTAACAGAAAGAATCAGAAAATATTAATAACATCTAAACTATAGCAAATGGTGTCCAAATGTTTATGAAACAATATCCTGACTTCCATCAGTAACGGGGCCAGCCGTATCTACGCATCAAAGTTAACTATCTGAAATAATAAAGTATGAAATTAGAGGATTTAAACAAAATGAATAAATGGAAAAAAAGTTTAGAGTAATGAAGTTTAGAGTAACAATAAAGCAGAATATTATGGAAGAGGATTAGGGCTACTGATTTTTACATATTATTTCAGTTTAACATGGTAAAAAAGTCAGAATTCTGACTTAAATCTCAGAATTCTGACTTTTTTCTCGGAATTCTGATTTATTTTTTTTTTTTTTTTAGAATTCTGAATTTATTCTCAGAATTTTGGATCTTAATGTAAATGGGCACCCTGAAGGAAGAGATGTGGGAGCACTCAGGTTCACTGATAAAGATGTGAGTTGTTTGGGAGGGCCAGTAACACATTGGAAAAAATGACGGGATTAGGCTCATTTTTACGTGTCCGAAGGGTTCCCCAGTGATGCTGTTTCATAAATGGAAAAGCAGAAGGTGATTAAAATAAGAGAGCTAGTTTAGTCTTTAAAACTGACATGGCTACGGATTGATGCTAACATGTTTGTTAGCTGTCAGAATTCAGTCTTAATTCTGAAATTACAGTCAGAATTCCGAGATTAAAGTCTTTTTTACCATATTAAACTGGAATAATATTTATTTTTTCGATGGCCCTAATCCTCTTCCGTAGAATAATAGTACAAAGAAGAAGGTTTAAAAAATTATGTTTTATTATATTCTATGCAGAGATAAAAAAAATAAAAGTAGGATTTAAATTTTAACTGCAGTTTGATATAAGAATGTTATGTTAATTTGCTGGGGTTGTTGTCATTAATTTTAAAGATTTGTTAAATAACTTAGTTTGCTTTTAGGAGTATTTCTGATTTGGGGAATTTAATGCTTTTGTGTAAAAATAATTTTGAAAACATGGTATGCATATCACACTGCTAAAACGATCTAAAAATGACTTAAAATTGCTTAAAATAAGTGGGTTTACCTTTTAATTTGAGTGTTTATAACCCCTAAAATAAGATAACCGGATATTTTCCACTTGAATAAGAGATTTTTAAAACATTTTAACTATAAATTGAATTATTCCACTGGCAAAGTGCCTCATGTACCTGTTCAATTGAAGATAAATCCATTTATTTTTAAGAAAAAAAAGACTTGGATTGCAATTTCCTGCATTAAAGTTACGCTAGAGTTGGTTATCATGTTTGCATTAACCAGTATTGTTAAATTCTAGTTTTATAAAGTTGTTTGTAAAAGTGCCTCATAAACACAATGTTTGTTTTTTTACATTATTAACTATAAAGTGGAATTAACATGCTAAGATCATGTAGCTATACATTTTATTCTAATGTTTTTTTTTATTTGGTTTTACAGCGAACTGTCCAGAAAAATGCAAAGTATGTCTGCCTCGCCAACAAAGACTGCCCGGTCGATAAGAGGCGGAGAAACCGATGCCAATTCTGCCGTTTCCAGAAATGTCTTGCTGTCGGAATGGTCAAAGAAGGTAAAGCATTGTCGAACCGTCTTGGGGTGTTTATTAGTCCAAAGTACCATGACTACAAAATAGGATTTCTAGTGACAATTTATGGAAACTAAATCCATGTGCAACTTGAGCCTTAAAGTGCCAGCTGAAGGAAAGGGGGCATTGAAACTGATCCTGAAGTATGTATCAGTCGACATGTGAGGGTCATGCATGCGTCTTTCTCTCCGTGTCCCTTTAGTTGTTCGCACAGACAGCCTCAAAGGCCGCCGAGGTCGCCTACCGTCCAAACCCAAGACCACAGTTGAGCCTTCCTCAACAACCCCCTGTGTGAACATCATCGCTTCTCTCATCAGGGCTCATTTGGACTCCGACCCAAGCATCGGAAAGCTCGACTACTCCAAGGTACGCCGGCCATTTCCAGCAGGCCCTGATCTCCTCTCTCCGTACGAGAGACTTCAGACGTCTTTACAGTTCTTGATTTGTTTCCTCTGCAGTATCAGGAAAAGACAGACGACCTGAAAGAAAAGGAGGATGCCGATGATATAAGGCAGTTCTACGACCTGCTGACCGATGCACTAGCAGTGATTAGAAAATGGGCTCAAACCATCCCAGGATTCACAGACTTCTGCACAGAGGATCAGGAGCTCCTCCTTGAATCTGCCTTTGTTGAGCTCTTCATTCTTCGGGTGGCATATAGGTTAGTTAAATCTCTCTACTGTTGGAAATTAAGCTTAACATAGTAAATTCTTTGACTGTTGAAGACACTAATGGATTGGATGGTTTAAACTGCTCAGGTCAAAGCCAGAGAAGAACAAGCTGATCTTTTGTAACGGCCTGGTCCTCCACCGGCAGCAGTGCGCCAGCAGTTTTGGTGGCTGGATCGACTCCATCTTGGATTTTTCACAGAGCCTTCACCGGATGAACTTAGACGTGTCACTGTTTGCCTGTCTTTCAGCATTCGTCATCATCACCGGTAAGTCCTTTTATCTTGCTTCCCTGATTGGAAAACTTTAATCAAATCCATTTATAATGACGACCATGCTATGATTCTAGATCGCCATGGCCTGAAGGAACCCAAAAGAGTCGAGGACTTTCAGAACAACCTCATCAGCTGTTTAAGGGAACACATGAGTGGAATTGGATCAGAAGTGACACGGACACAGCCTAACTATCTGTCCCGTCTTCTGGGCAAACTCCCAGAGCTGAGAACTCTGTGCACTCAGGGCCGGCAGCGCATCTTTTACTTGAAACTGGAGGACTTGGTCCCCCCTCCTCCGATTGTGGAGAAAATCTTCATGGATACGCTGCCCTTTTGAAAACAAAAGAAAAACAAACTCTGATATGTGTGGAAAAACAAATCAAACAAGACAGCATTAAGGAGACAGTTCGTCCGTATAGGGCACTGACTAGTTTGCTATAATGTCTGACATTCTCTAAGAGACCTTTATTTTATACCTTTACATTTTACACATGCGTGAGAAATTTTTCATGCATCATAAGAGATTATTATCTGTGCCAAAACTACATGATTATCCAATTTTCTATGTTTAATCTGATTTGTAAATCTCTGTTGCTGAAGTAGATGTGAGAGCCTTATTGTGCTTTGCAGCTTTTAAGGTAGGAATTTCTTTGATTCAATGCGGTGTTCTAGCTTCCTCTCAGAAACACTAATTTCTTAAGAGACTGGTTCATGATCGCACTCCAAAGCTAACCCTCTAGCTTCCTGTCAGTGTCGATATATTTCATAAGTAAAAGTTCCGTTTGTGCTCTCTAAGGTCTTGGACCAAAGTTGAATAAAGATTTTATTTTGATACAGTCATTTATGAACCTTATTGCCTTAAGCGAGTGGGGGAAAGAAGTCTGTGCTGCCTTTTTGGAGCAGCCTGCTACAGTTTAACTCCGGGTAAACTCACCGTACCGTGGCTGCAACCTGATTTCATTGTACTTTTTCTGTGATGCGCTGGATATAAACAAAAAGTGCCTTCATATAGCTATTACCCCCTTCTACAATAGAAGTGGAGAAGAATAAGAAGTTGGTAAAATGCAGCACCCTTCATAATAATTTCCCCCCTTCCTCATAATCGAGCTTACAATTGCTAAACTTCTTCCTTTTTAGGTTTCATAGTTTCTTTTATTTTTTATGTTTTGATGGTGAGAATCAGAGTAATGGGCCGTTTCACGTCATATTTATAACCACAGAAAAACAGAAAGTAATCAATGAAGTATAGTTTAAAGGGGCATAGTCACGATGTATATCTACACCAAAAAGACCAAAATCCAATTGATGATGCTACAATAAGGTTATATACTCCAACTGTCCATCCTGATGGTGTTTTCTTTGTATTTATTTGAGCCTAAATAGAACCTCAGCACTGGGTGCAATGAGCTGACATAAACAGAGGTGGCGCCACCTACTTGCAGTACCACTGAACTAACAGAAAGCCAGATGGTGACACTAATGCAGCTATTAAATAAGTTTTGACCGTTCTGACCGCTGTAGTGCCTCACTGAAAACCGATATCTCAGAGGATGGGGCTTAAAAACATTGCTAACACACGTAGCGCTATTAGCAAGAAAGTGTAAAGTCATGTGTATCAATTTCACAGAAACTCTGAATGCTTTCTTAGCTTTAGCTCCAGCTTTAGTGTACTTCAACGGTCAGACTTTTATCAGTGCAACTCGAGTTTTATTCCACTTAGGCTACTTTCATACAGCAGCCTGAAGTAAGCCAGATCTGATTTTTTTATAATTTTTTTTGCCCATGTGTGACATATAACTGATCTTTTCATGACAGTCTGAACAACACAGATCCGATTTTTTTTAATGCGACTCAGACCACTCGGCTATGTGGTCCTGAATCCGATACGTATCTGATCTTTTCAAATGCGACCCGCATGCCAATGGCCAGGTTGCATTCATCCGAGCTGAACGTCATTAATGCGCGACATAGGTCACTATTCTGCCTCTCGCTAAAGATAAGTGTCAAGAAAAACAACAACCATGGCGGACGATAATGCGGAGAGTAGTATTTATGTTTAACCATGTTGAAAAGATTACTTTTTTAAGTTTTAAGGTTGGGAAAGATCAAATGCGCTCCAACGCAACCATCAATGTTTACTTCCATAAACACAGAGCGCGCTTGCTTGTGACGTCATTGTGTCCTTTACTGCGCATGACGAACACTTGCGTTGTATGAATGCAGTTCCCAAAGGCGATCACACAATAGTCGCATATATTTGGAGATGTGAAAGGCAACGCAAAAAAAATCGGATTTCACAAAAAAATCAGAATTGAGCATTAAGGCCTGCAGTGAGAATGTAGCCTTAGAATCAAACATCTTCTTCTCCAACTTGATCTTGGACTTTTCTTTTCTTAAATACACTGGGAATTCTGAACTTGCTCGACTCTAATGTTTCAGCATCTTTAACGGTTCTACACATGTACAGTGACGTAATTCTCGGCACATGATGTTGTTTTGGTAAATATACACACAAAGGCTATATTTACAATTAAACTGAGAAAAAAAGGGCTTAAAAGACAAGGATAACAAATACTGCACCAGCAGGACGCCGCATTTTGTCATAAAAACGTTGTCAACGCAACATATAAATAAATAAAATGTCAAATGATGTGACTATGTACCTTTTAAAATGCTTCACTTTGTTTCCGAGCTGTTAGTACTGCCGTTAACTGCAGAGGGTTCTGTATATCAGAGCCACGTCTCCTTTTGATATAAAACTGACCGAGGCATGTGTTCATGCTGTTTTAACACGGTTCTCAAGTGATGAGATGTCTGGGGGAATATAATCCTGTTCACATGCTCTTGAGGCAATGAAAGTTATAAGTACATCTCCATCCAAGATTAAAATAGATCCAAGGAGATGTCAACGTCTTCTTGTCCCAACAATAAAGTAGATCTTAACATATGAATGTTTACCACAAAATGCCTAAAGGGTCAGACACTTCAATATTTTATTTTGTTTGTTTGTTTGATATTTCTCTTTCATTGCAAATTAATCATGTGTAACAACATTTTTTAAAATTCTCTCTGTTTTTAAGTTTTGTACATGCTGATTGTTGTGCCTTTTTCATCATTTTCTAATCCTGAGGACTCAGTGAATTGTGATAAAAAGATGAGCAGCTATAAAGACTCATGTTTAAACAAAAAGAAAACTGTTCTTCTCATGTTTTTTTAATTTTACAGTTCTATTATTTGGGATATACCTGCATTTGTGTTTGTCAAATGGAGCAGAATGAGGGAATATCTCTAGTCCTCAAAGGATGTGCGTGATTTTACTATGAAATTGAAATAGAAAACAATTCTGAAAGTTAAGGGTGGTTAGACAGTCAATAAGTCTCTTGCTGATTATGTATCTTGCAAAAAAACAATATCCATCTTGCACACCCCTCATCCCAATATATTCATAACACAAACAATAGGAGAACATTACCAAGTAACAAATCTATTTTATAGTCTTGATTTATGTTGAAATACACCAATATAGCAGCAACTTTCCAACTTCTGACCTACAAAAATTGAACTCTCTGAATATTTCTTTTTTTTTTCTTTTTACAAACGTTAGATTTAAATTTTACTATAGAATAAGTCATTGCTCTACATTTCATTTTACTAGGTCTACAGGCATGTGTATACACAAAACAGTCTGTATTTTGTTAGCTAGCATCCGTTGGCATGCTAATATGCTACGGAATGCTGACATTTTGCCGTCAGTAAGATTAACTGACACCGAAATGTACGTTGTTGGTAATAGTTGGATATAATACTTGATGTTAACCAAGGGGAAAAAAACAGATAAAGTGTTCAGGTTTAAAAAAAAAAAGCACCTTCACATTAAGGGTGTTACATAATGATATGGCAGAAAGGTCCTTTTCACTCAGTCGGTGTCCGTTTTGTCGCGCATGGTGTTAATGTTGGCAAAATTCTTTTACCAGAGCAAGCCGACACCACGGCCCTCTCAGCCACAGAAGATTGCAGCACCGACGGCATTTAGTCACTTGACATCTGATCGTACTGTACACCACGTTCTGCTCCTCTGGATTTTGGCACTGGCAGACAGAATGGAAAAAGCAATATGGGAGAATAGAGGAGGAGGCAAAAAGCAAAGCTAGACTGCACATAGATGTTTTTTTCTTTTTTACAAAAAAGGCATGCTAGCATAAAGCCATATAAAAACGTAATTGGGATTTTAAAAGTAGAATTAAGTCAGATTCAGCAGTTCAATAAAGCTAAAAGCATCTTATTATCTGATTGAAAAGTTGTAAATCTGCTCTCAGTGTCAGGATTCATTCTTTATGAACCCGTATCTATAACAGGTCAAGCATGTCCTCCCTTCAGAATTCCCAAACCCAAACTCAAAATACATCCTCATGTCAAGGTATCTCCTGCTTTGAGATGCAGTATTTCTTAACAGCATCTTTTTCCAAAAGTAGAAAGATACCATCTGGAGCTGGCATTGGCTCTTTGACCTCTGACCTGGCATGCAACACAGCTTTTAGGAATGGACCATGGTCTTGCATCCATCATACATGTGAAATGTTCTGACGAGTAAAACATGTGGCTTACTTGTCATGGTGATTTGTATACAAACATCCCAGAACAAACCAGATTGTTCTATAGCAAAATACAAACTTGTATATGTAGGAAGGTAGGTGCAGCATGGTGAGTGGTTTTATTTGAAAAACAAAATAAAACAAAACAAAACCTAAAGAACCGGAACTAGGAGAGCAAAGTTTGAAGCAACAGCAAAAACAGCCATTGACATAAGCAGACGAGACCTGAACGGAAACTGTAATCCAGCTAGAAACAGTGAGAAACTGGGAATAAATAGCAGGGGGAACAGGTGAGATGCATGTGTGTAACAAGCAGCTGCAGGACGACTAAATGTAGAGTGGCTATGGCTGAGGTGAAAAGCTGATGACCATAAGTACCACTGCCCTACATGTTTTAGACATCTGTTTCAGTCCACCTGATTCAAATGAATGCATGACCTCCTCAGCTGATATTTAGTGCTGAATTAGCCCGTGGCTCGATCTAAATACTTCAGACTGAAGCTCCTCCTCCTGTTCCTTGCTCCTATCCCTTCACCTTCTGCGGAGTCAACAGTATAAATTCTATCCAGGGTAGGAAAGGAGTTCGGGACTGCTGTGCTGAATCCAGACATCATCACGATGTTGGACACGTACGTAAAAAAATGGAAAAAAATGGACACTTTTTTTTTTTAAGTAGAGAACAATAATCATTCAGTTTGGAATATAGACAATTTCCTTATTCACATATTTTATAGAACACCTGAAATGACCGTTCAGTTAGTTTTTTTCTTTTTCATGTCTTAATGAGAGCAGTGGGCTTTATGCTGCCCTGCAAGGCTTTAAACCTGGGTTTGAATGAAGACAAAACCATTCTAAAGTGCATATCCTTGAGCTCATTTAGCGCCTGGATCCATATTTATTTTTTATTCTATTCATGGTGGAGAATCCTGCTTCACAGCAGCAGGTTGAACCAAACATCCTCTAAATGTTCAGGGTCATCTTTGAGCACAACATTTCACTTTTCTTTCACCAGTTCACCACAGTTCTTCCAGCAGTCCACACTTTCTCTGCTTTCTTTTTCTCATCATCTTCTCCTTCTTTCCCATCGCCCGGCTTGCCACAGGTTTGCCTGCTGTGTCTAAAAGTAGCAGCAGCAGCAACTCAGACTGACAGCAGCTCATTGACTAACTTGTATCACATGTAGCCTGATGCCAGGCGCTCTGGGGAGCTTTACCGTATTAACAGGAGAAGCAGCGCAAGTGAAATTAGACACTGCCGTCAGACAACATGCGGTAATTTATAAATGTTTTAAATCAGGTTGGGTCCAGATCCAGATGGTCCGCTAATCTGTGACCTCTTGTATAGGGCGTAACGAGGGGCAATCAGCCTCTCACGACCAGCTCCCTATCAGGAATTGTGTGGTTGGGAAAAAAATCGAACATGTTTGTGGGTGTGAGTGAAAGGGAGTTCTTTCTGTAAAATTGATAGACCGTAGTAGCCGCGTTTGCTCAACCATGTCTTTCTCCAAATATGTTGTCGCCTATCCTTTTTAGGGCTTTCAGCACCAAATTGCACAAGTTGCCAAGGCAAAGCGATTCACTCTTGTGAACTTCATATTCCTCTTCTACTCGTTTGGCTTCCGGATAGAAGAATCGAATTAGCGCCAGCTCACTGCGGAGTGGAGTCCGACGTGGTTTTTAGACGTACAGTGTGAGCAAGTAGATCGCATCAGAGCGTCGTAGTGCACAGTGTGAGAACATACATCGTGAGCTGTGAACTATTAAACCCATCTATTTCATCGTACAGTGTGAGCTTTAGCTGCATGCAACAATTGAAAAAATCGTGCAGTGTATGCCCGTCTTTATAGAAACCTAACCATATAAAGGTCCGAACATTAACATGTGTCACAAAGAGTATATGTAAAGACATCCTATCTGACAAAGGATTGTGGGTAAATCTTAGTGGCGGCTAGGGACGTCAGGAGGACCCTATGCTAAATGAGCTGGAGCTAGGAAGTGTCCTGTTTCTTTTTCCTAGCTCTTTCTTTACTGATAGCGATATTCGGACAGCACTTATCATGTTAACTGTAGACACATTTCCACTTACCGGTTTTAAATATTTAAATTGAGCCATCTGAATACAGCAGATGGATGTGGACTCAAGCCAAAGCAGAAGTACATCAGTGGCCGCCATGATAAGTGCCATCTGAATAGTGCTGGCAGTAAGGAAGGCGGTAGGAAGAGAAAGCTGGAACCTTCCTATCAATAGCTCTTTCAGCATAGGGACCTTCCAATGCTCCCATTAGGTACTTGGGAGGACTCCCAGAATCCTTTGCATGATGTAGCCCATCTCAAAGAGTTGAACAAAAATACATTATGTCTTTTCGTGTACTCAAAACATGAAGAATTATACAGCAAGCTAAAGACTGAGCTAATAAACAATGGTGAGCCATGGGAAGTAAACTTAGAAACTTAAGTCTAAAAAAATATTATGTCAGGAAATGTCCAAATCTTGACACAAAAATAACATTTAAAACTCAAACACCTTTTAATAATGAGTACATTTTTGACCCTACTTTTTTATTATGATGAATAAAACTAATAATAGAAGTACAAAAGTAAGTCAAGTACAATTTTTTAACAGCTCATAATCAACTTCGGGAAAAATGCCACTGGTCATGAAAGATGGAAATTAATTTTAATATATGTAAAATTTA